ATGACCATCCAATCAGATACAGAAGAGACACACCATCTAACTCTTTCGTAAACCATACTCTTCGTATTTCATACTCCGTTCCTGGTATACTCTACGTTGTACGTTGTACAAACTCCGTTCCTGGTACAAGCATCCATACACAACAGCTGCTGATATTTATAGTTTTGGTATTATTATGTCTGAGATGTCTACAGGAAGGCCTCCTCATTATGATGAAACGCTAGCTATGAAAATATTTATGGATTACGTCCTGAATTTGCTGAATGCACTTCTAGATGCTATATCCAACTAGCAACTCAGTGTATGGATGCTAATCCTTCTGATAGACCAACTGCATCTGATATCTATGAAAAATTATTAAGATGGCATGAAATATTAGATAATAGTAGTGCTGAAAATAATGATGAATTAGCAATATTAAAAGCATTCCAGTCTGCAGATGCAATTATTCCAACATTATCAACAGAATTGTCAGTCTGTCCTAAAGATAAACTTACAAGTAAACTGCCCAACTTTAAAAATCTTTATAAGCCAATTAATTCTTCATTTATTTCACCTGCCAAATCGTTAAAAATTTATGGTAAATAATTATCTATTTAAATATCTTGTTTTTATAACCAATAATGGTGATTTATTATAAGCCATGAATGAATTATTATCGCGCAATTATTTTGCATATATATTTAACTTATTTAAATTATAAGGTCTAAATTAATTTATGCGACGTTAGAGATGTAACTAATGAATTTCAAGCTCAACTGGACCAAAGAAATAAGCTTTATACGATACAAAAGTAATCCCTTCGTTCTTATAAAGTAATTTTAGGATTCTAAAATAGGTTTAACCACCTGGCTTTTTTAGGCCAAATTTTATATAAAGATTTCTTCTTTGGAACATTATTTCCTGGTCATATCAAATTCAAAAATCTTTTCAAGTAAATTCCAAAAATTTTTTATTAAAAAAAAGCCTCAAACAATGGATGACATTGTGAATGAAGAAAATAATAACAAGCTTGATGCTTTGTGCTTGTAGATTGTGTAATTCTAATATTCCAATATGCTTCTCTTCGTGGATGATCCTAGGTTTAAGTATTTGAATAACAATACAATGTTTTAAGAACAGTGTCACAATAAATAATTCTGATATGAACAATTACGGAAAGGGTTTATCTTTAAATTTAGTGATCTCAAAATAATAAACCATCTATTTCATTTTATAGTATGCTATAAAGGCATTAATCATAATAGTAGTAAATATGGACCAAATTTCAGTGAAGGTCCTGAATTACATGTTCCAACAGCAGTAATACTTCGATACTTAAAATAAAAAGCCACTCCAAATTTATAAACGCATATTCATTCTCATTCACAATCTCAGATTATGAAATCTTTCAAGTAGTTAGAAACGTTACAAAGAAATCAGCATAAAAGAAAATGTTCGATTAGTTCTTGAACATATTTTTTATGATAGTATTGATAATTTGTATGTAATATCATAACTGATAAATAATAGATTGATATTATATGTTATCGTGAAAACTAGATTTTTTTTCTTGTTATTACGTAAGCACAACAATCCCAAATTAAAACTCAGCCAACCACGACTCGTAAATCATGATCGTAATTGTACGATATTGGATCATGCGATGATAAATATCATAAAATTTGTTCTGTTGGGGCAAACGATTGGCTGAAACGTGCTGCTACGCGGCACATGTCAGCCAATCATTTGCTCCGACAAGCCAAATTTCATGATATTAATCGTTTCATGACCAATATCTCATACATAGCAACCTAGATCCTAGGTATTTGATGCAAATAGTTACGAATGATACTTATATGGGGTGTTTCACATTAAAAAGACCCATTTTTCAAATTTTTTAAAAATTGAGTTTTTATTAAATTTATGTAAATTTGACGTGACTGACATTTCCAATTATAAATGAAAAGCAATTTACATAATAAAAATGGGGATAATGTAAAAGAAAAATTACACGAGGCTCGAGGTTTCCCATGATAATTAACCAATCAAAATGCATAATTCTTAATTAATATTACAGTACTAAAAAACGAAAAAAACCTCATATAAGATTGCAGACAATAAATATACACAAAAAAAGTTTATTATTTATGTTTAGAGAATAGATAGTGAAATCGGGCGTTACGGCGAGTCAGTCGCTCCACAATCCTAGACTTCGTGTAACCTACGGTTGGCTTAGTCGAAAAGAGGCGTTTAGATTTGGTCGGTGGTTTGGGTCCGTAGGTAAGT